GCAGAAAAAACGATTATTTCAGAGGGCATGCTCTTGGAACCCACGGTTATGGCACTTGACGGTGGGCTTAAAAGGACTGGAAAAAAGGCTGCGTGTATTGAGTCATTCCTACCGACGTACCTAGCTAGCTACCATTGGATGCGTCAAGACAAAGTCGGAACGTGGCCTTATCAAGGGGGCGAGAAACCACAGAGATTTCCATAAAAAATAGCAATAGATGCTACTCAGAAAGAATTTGTTCAGTTGAGTTTCAGTGGGCTGTTTTTTTGTAAAAGAGACAAACATGGAGGCAAGATCGCACGGCATAGCTGAGACATCACGATACACCTGCAAGCCTGAGCAGGTAATTAGCGACTAAGGGGCAATGTAGTCTTTTCCTGCCTGGCAGTTTCTGAAAGTATTCGCATTTTGATCATTTTCAGCAAAACAACAGAAACATATCTTCTATGTCATTCAGGTGCTATTATGAAGACACGTCTTTACCCCTGCATATGTGGATGGAGCCATCAAATAGAACGAGCCGTGCCACATCCCGCAGATCTCCCCGCATTCTCCACGCCGTCCCGCGCAGCGGTTTCCCGCCACTAGCGGGTTTACTTTAACGGGACTGGCGGACATTGGTTCCTCGTCTACTCCTCTCTGGCGGAATTCGGGATTGAAAATGGTTTACATAACATCGTTCCCGTAGCCATTTCCTCTTCTTCGAATAAAATGGAATTTTCTGCTCGTTGGATTTGTCAGAGGAGCCTTTTCTTGCGAATAGCATCGATTCTTGCAACTCGAGAAGATTTTCGGTTGATGGTCTTCTGCACTGAAGGTCCTGCACGCAGCATAGTACGAGACCTTCAGCCTCGAACAAAGCTCGCTTCTAGAAACGAAACTCCATCAAATTCTTTTGCCTTTAAGCCAGCACCACACGATTTGACCATTCAGCTTTTATCGGCCGAGATATGAGTTATTGTGGCCGATCCCGAAGGCCGACCGGCGACTGCAGTACACATGTTTACCTGGAGGCTCGCAAGAAGCATGTATGACAGGAGGGATGCACCGAAAAGAGACTGGCCGAGAGTTGATACCACGTTATGACAGAAAATGGAACGAAGCAGAGATCCAAAGAAGTGCGCTTAGTTGACGAGGGAGTTGCGAGGTCGGATGATAGTCGTCCTTGCAGAGAGTCCGATAACCATTTCCGACCAAGTACCCACGAAGTTTAAGACCAAGAAAGCACGCCGACGTTGCTAAGTGACGGGGCTAGTCGAGTTGGATAAATTCGCGGATTCGAGGATGAATTTGAAAGACGTGCGACATCACGCCCTTAGTTTCCTGGCTTCAGGAACATTTTGGAGAATGGTTGAGCAGAGAATGCCGGAGACTGAGCCAAGTTCCTTCTAGCAGGTTAGTTAGAAGTTCTACTCGCAACTCGAAAATGGGCGACTGATGTGTGCAGTGGTCTGGCAAGCTCTCAAATAAGCGATGTATCCCATCAACCTTGTTTGTCGACATACGAAACGAGCGGCGGGGCGGCATATGAGATATTCATGACCTCAGTGCTTTTCTCCACCAGTGTCCTTGCACTGATGGAATTTGGAATCCGATCATCAGAGGCAGTGACATAGTGCCGCCGGACTTTGGGTCGTGAGCGCTTTCACATGAGATATCAGCCCAGGCGAACTCAGGCCGAGCGCCGTGGCTATATGCACAGGATCAGGACACATTTCGCGATTGATACATCGATCGGCGGAGGCATCTGGACATCCGTCGTATTCAAAGATGTAAGGCGAATGCAGCGGCTTTCTGGGGACTTCTCCGCGTGGCAAGTAGGACCATTAGGCTGCGGGAGCTCCCGTCTGGCGAAGACTCAAAAGGAAATCGGCCCTTCGGAAACGACGGAGAGGGACTGTCCAGTGTCTTTGCCCCAAACAAGGCTAGATATCGAAGCACTCCGACAAAGTGGGATCCTCTTTGGGCTGATGTTCAGCTGGCTACTGCAAGCAACCTGCCGATAAAGTGCTGGCAGACAGGAACGATCGGCCGACATTTCGGATCACCAGGATTATTCCAGGGCTCGGAGCAAACCTTTTACTACCGAGATGAAGGCAGGCTTCGAGTAAAGGCCCCTCATTTCGACTTGTGGTGGACTGAGGTTGTGAGCGGGGTTGATTGGATAAGAAACACGACCAAGTTTGGAAGTGTTGCATTCACCGAGACCGTTTCCATCAACATGAACCAACAAAACACGGGTCCTCGAGCCGGAGAGTTATGCAGGCGCGGTATTGGAGGCATGGAGAGCGTCGCATTGAACCGAATTGTTCCCATTTCAGGATCAGGAGCATGGGGAAATAGAAGAGTAGGAACCAAACGAGGAGACCTCAAAAAGCGGCCAGAAAATCATCGGCTCGTCGCTCCGCAATCCCACAAACGGCCCACTACCAAGCTAGCCCAACTGAGTTAGACTGGGAAATAGGAAGGCCCAGACGGACGTCTGTGATGCGGAGAAGATCCACAAATAAGGGGCGTTTGTCCTAGTCGAACCACTGGGGGTCCGGGAAATCGTTGTGGGAAAGCGGGGAAGATGCGCCTTCCTGGCCCAGTAGCTGTAGCTGTGGCTCCGGGGAAGGAGGCACTTGGAAGGAAGCAGGTGGCAGGTGACTTGCCGTTTTTTGATTTGACCGCCTCATGCCGAACGTCGACGTCCCCTTTCGCGCAGCTTCCTGTCAGATCAGGCGAGAGAACGACATCATCGGATGAGACAGATCACGACGAGGCACAGGACATCAAATATCGACTGCAGTCCACTTGGAATACTGGATTCTACTGACGGAGAGCCGACACCCCAGGCTCAACAATGAGATATTCAACAGCGTGCTCGGCGTGTCGGTAAGCCAATCTGCGGATTCCTCCCTCTTGAACTTTGCTGGCGTTCCCCCGACCCCTTCGTTCATTGGCCCTGAGGCGCATCGCTCACCGACTGAATGACAGCGCACGACGGCGGAAATGCGAAGTTCCCATCGGCGGCGGCCAGTGCACTTACTGTGCGGCTCAGAACATTGCATGCTCGAGGGCTGGAACCATCATCCAACCCAAGGCGGCTCCCATCAGCCCCATATCTATCACAACGCCAAAGACGCCGATAGTCACCGAGATCATCCTTGCTAGTCCGCCAGGCATCACTCCTTCCGCTGCTGTTGCCGACAAGGCGCTATGCTTCGAGCTTGTGGAGTTGTACTTCAAGTATATCCACGATCAACTTCACTCCCTCTTTCACAGGCCCAGCTTCATGCTGGATCTGCACGAGGCAACCGCCCCTCTGGTGCTTGTCTACGGAATGATGGCACTTTCAGCGCGGTTCTCGTCGAATCCAATCTTCAACGGAATATCACCAATGTCGAGAGGCGAGCTTTTTGCCAATGAGGGAAATCTACTGCTCAACTTGCGTGACGTTTCACTCACCACCGCACAAGCATGCGTGTTACTCGGCGCGTACTCTATCGTAGAGGGTGAGGCTGGTGCAGAAACCATCTTCTATTCCGCAGCTTGCAGGATAGCCAACTATCTCGATCTGCCCAACCTGCCGACCCCAGATCCGCTGCAGAGAGAGATCCACATCAGAGGTAGGAAGTCTGCCTTCTGATTCACGTCACTGTACAAGTACTGACTCTATTAGTGTATTGGTCACTCTGTATGATCGATGTGTGGTCGTCAACCGGTGTCAATCTTCCACGCCTCATGGACCGTCGAATGGACGTCCCATTACCCATGAACGAGTCAACTTTTCTCAACATGACCCGGGCAAACAATAACCACTTTGACTTCATTCTCTCACCAAATCGTGAAGATTCCCTGATCGCTCAAATGATCAAACTGAACAGTATTCTGATGAGGGTCAATGATGCCATCAAGAGTCTCACATCTGATGTTGACGTGACCAACATCGACGAGACAGTGTCTCAACTGTCACAAGAACTCGAAGCCTGGGAGGTGGCTCTACCCCATAATCTTCGCGATACCCCGAGTAACCTCCATGCCTTCGCCTCTCAAGGCCTGGGGCGAATCTTCATTGCCGTGCATACTGGCCACTACCACTACAGCCAGCTGCTGTACTACCAGTATCTTGACGAAGTTCAACGCTTCCCTGCTTCACCAACAGCACAAATGTTCGCGCGCAAATGCAAGGAGAACGCTATCTCCATGTCACGCATCATCGATCTCGCGAACACAACACCTGGATGTGACGCCAAGTTCAACATGCTTGGGCATATCATTGTCATCACGTCTTCAATCTTCATCCACACTCTGCTGTTCGAGACGGACGAAGCTGAGATTGCAAATGCCCGCGGTACACTAGAGCGTCATTTTAATACCCTTGTCGCTCTGCGAGCGTACTGGCCAGCACTGGAGGTATGCTTCGCACGGCTCAAAACGTTCCATGAGCTATGTCGCAAGAGTATGAACACCAGCTACCGCATGGATCGGTGGATGTTGCGGTTCTTGACTGAGTTCGCACGACCCATCAACGAGAAGGAACGTGACGAGGACGGCCACATGGACTTGGATCGCTGGAGCGTGGGTAACATCGGAATCAGTCCCGAGAACTGGGCATAGCAATGCAAGGGCCCGGGTGCATAAGCTTCACAGCACGTGCTTATCGGCTGGGCACCCGGTGGCATGTCGAAATGAAACGAAGCAAAGGCATCAATGGATTCAGAAAGCCCATTCTCCGATCACAGCGGCAATGCGTTGCGACAACCTATCGGCAGGTTTACGCTGGAGATAATAGACACATGATGCTTGCCCGGCTGCATGTGGGCCGAAGCTATATCGTCATGGACGTCAATCTCGCAGAGAGCGGATCCAGAACCGTCTGAACCCAGGCCAAAGTCCAGTCCAAGGCGGCCCTGCCCAATGCCAACAGCAATAGCCATGTCGAGCCAGATGTTTGGTAAAGGGGGCGGGAGGGCCCGGGTCGTGCGGCGTGCCTGGATGCCAAGCTAATAAAACATTGCCCAATCACAAGTTTGCCGTCGGCAGCCTAAGCGCCGAGTCAAGGAGTCTGAGAGGAGGTGCTGGGTAGGGTTTGGTGATGATCCAATATGCAAGGTTTGGCGGAAAGTAATGTGGGATGATTTGTGTCATCAAAAGGATGAACAACACGCTATCAAACTTTGATTCAGTGTTCTCGGAAAAAGATGCCGTGGGGTACACCATGGGGTACACGTGGGGTCGAACACATGTTCTACAGTAGCAAGCAGAATTGTCGGGAAACAGAAACCTTGAACACGATGCAAAGATGTTAAATTGGACTCCGAAAATGGATATTTTCATGAGAGAAGGACTTTCAATGCCCTCGACTCGATGGTCCCGACTCGAAATGCCAAGTCAAGGGCTGCCGGTAGGCTTTCCAATTCATCCTGATTCTCAATTTCTGACTTCGACCTTTACTTGACCTCCTCTGGCGTAGTATGCTGATCACCAGCCTCTTCCTCATCAACGACCTTGACCGCGCTGACCTGTACCTCGGATCTCGGATAGTCTCCAAAGTGCCTCACCGGCACGCCGTCGTGAAACATGCGATCAATCTCCTCCAGACTCCTCCCCTTACACTCCGGCACGCAGAAAAAGACAAAGAGCGCGGAGCAGACGGCGATGCTGCCGAAGATGAAACCGACTTTGCTCTGTAGCGCGGCGTAGGGCGCGTTGAGGAGATAGGGCAGGGTGAAGTTGACGAGGAAGTTCATGAAGATGTTGACGAGGGAAGAGACGCGTTGAGAGCGGTCGCGGAGGCGGAGGGCTGGAACTTCGGTTACGACTACGTAGGTTAGGGGGCCCCATCCGAGACCGAAACCGGCGCCGACTGTGGTGAGGGTTAGTAGAGTATACTCATCGTAGGCGTGGGTTTGGTGTTGTTCTTACATAGGAGGAGCATGCCGACCATGCCTGATTTATTGGCATTTGGTACGGGCTTTGGCACGCCGAGGCCGGCCATCGTGTAGAGTGCAATTGTCAGCACCGCAGCACCAACGAGTAGAATTTTGCTTGAAGAAAAGTCAGTCTCATGCATCTTGACGTTTAAAATCTTGTAACCACTGAGCGCGGGGGACAGGATTTCACTCACCGTCGTCCAACCCGATCCGTTAAGAATAAGCACGTAATAATCAACCCCGTTGTGAGCGCTGACGACCCCAAGGTGACGTCAAACGGGTTCAGTGTACCGAGCGACTTGACCCAGACGGCTCCATACTGCGACGCAAAAGCTTGACCCGTCGCCTGTTGGAAAAAGGACATGCCGACGGCGATGGCGGTGCGCTTGCGGTTCACGCCCTGGAAGAGCTCTTTTGTTCGACCTTGTTCAGGTTCATCGAGGAGGGATTGTTGGATCTTGGCGAACTCGTGGGCGATGTCTTCTTCGGATATGGTTCCTTCGCGGAGGAGGTGGTGGGACTTCCTGGCTTCTTCTACGTGGTCTCGGAGGAGGAGCCAGCGGGGAGACTAATAGGAGGTTAGAAGAGTTAGTTTACCAACGTTGAAGAGGAGAGCGTTGGGGTGTGTTTACCTCTGGGATGAACCAGATCAAGGCTAGTATGATTGATGGAATGACGTAGAAGAGACCGAAGGGAATCCTGTAAGCACGGCTATCTTGAAAGTTTGAGGTTCCGCGGCAGATGGAGTTGATGACGAGACCGCCAAGCTACATTCTGCAGATCAGCAATTGCCCAATGGAATAGGGGCGGTGTTGTAGAGTTGTGCGTACACCAATGGAGAGTTGGTATGTCCCAACAACCATTCCTCGAACAGGAGCAGGGACGATCTCTGACTGGTACACGGGCACAACAGCCAGTTCAAATCCGACGTAGACATCTGGAGTCTGTCAATGATTGCTCTGTAGCTTCAAATAGGTTTCGCATACAGTTGAGAATTCTGCCTACGAGGATTTGCTCCTTCGTTGTGGATGTGACCACCACTGTCGCACTGATCAGGGCGTAGACGCTCATAACGATCATCGTCGTTCGACGACCGAAGCTTGCGCTGGTTAGACTGCCAATCACAAGACCTTCAATATCGTGTTAGTGACCACAACCTGCAAGTTGCCCTCCAGCACCCGAGCTCCAAGGTTCCAGGGCATCAACGTACCGGCAGCAAAGCCGATGTAGTTCAGACTATTCAGCAACGACAAGAAGTATGTCGGAATCTTCTACTGCCTCGTCGCGTCGTCGTACGCGTCGTCGTACTCGCCAAACTGCCGCTCAAAGGCATCCATGGCCTGCGTCGATGTGAAGGCCTGGTTGTCGAAGCCATAGTTGAATTGCGACACGGCGATGAGGAATACAGAGGCGAAGAGCCGCTTGTTGAAGTGCTGTGTTATCGATTTGAACCCCATGATTGCTGATGATGCTCGTCGAGAATGAGATCAAATAGGTTCAGGGAGCTAGGTCGTTCATCGTGATGACGTTTCGGGCTTGGGGCGGGAGCGAGAGTTATATGGCGGTTACATACTCGAGCCTTTGCTACACTAACAAGAGGTCGCAGTATGTCGCCATGCCGTGACACTGACAGTGACCGAAGCCAGGGACATGGTATTCGCGACTAGTGGTCGTGGTGGAGTATTGCAATGCATGGAAAGTCTGGAGAAAACTGCTTGCAGATGGTTCGTGACAGCGGAGATGCGGTAGAGACCCACTTGTTCTTCGAAACATCATCTTGGCCCTGTCTTGCGTGCTTGGGCTGGACAGCTTGAGCCTAGTTCGTAAGTCCGCGAAAGTCTTATAGTTCCGGGTAAGTTTCTCCGTTGTTGGGCATGTTTTATATGGCATCTAGGTCTAATTCGAAATGTACATATATCTTCCAAATTACAACTCAGACCGCTGTTTCCACATCTTCGTTTCCTCAGACACTGGCGGGATCGGGTTCCATGTAGCCCGATAGAAACCAGCTTATCTCACCGCTCATATCAAACTGCGAGGGAGCTACAAAGTAATCCGGCGCCAGCTGGTTCTCTGCAAAGCCAGACCAAGTAAGCGGTCCATCCAGACTGGAACCAATGTCGTCGAGACCAGCGGCGCTGGCTAGAGAAGCCGGATAGATGTCGACAGAGTCCGTCATCGTCAAATCCGTCGTTTCTGAAGTCTGCAGAATTGACGGAGGTTGGGGAGGGTCGGAGTGCTGAAGCGCGACTTCGTCGGCTGTCTTGGCGTTGCTGTCGAAGCTCTGGGAAAGTGGGTGGTATCTGCTCAGCAAGTTGTTCCGCTGGACCTCGCTACTGACCGGCGCGAGCCCTTGCGTCTCTGCATCGTTCTGTCTTCTGTCTTTGTCGGCTTCGACCATCTTTTCCACGTCTTGCTGTAGCACCGCAATGATGGGCGCGATCTTGGCCATGTCGTCCAGTAAGGCGATGTTGCTTTGGCACAAAGTCTCCACTGCCTCATCATTGAGCACTGCCGTATCGCCGGTAATCGGGTCAACTAGATCATCGTAGAGCTTGCACCGTCTTGCTGTCAGGAGAGTTTTGGTGCACTGATGCACCATGCTGCCATACCCTAGTCGGAGGGGAATGCGTGTCTGCTTTGACTGCAGGGCGCCCTTGGCTCGAAGGTTCTGGAGATGCTCCCACAATCTCGCCTGTCGGAGAGCGTGTGACACCGCGAGAGCGCGCCACTCGGATACAAAGTCTGGCGGGGCGCTCGCGAGGAATTTCGGTGATGCGCTCTCCCTATACGCGGCTGGGAGTGCGACGCGGAAGAGATCGCATGCACATTGGAGGTACCATGAGTTGAGTGTCAGGTAGGACGAGAACTCTGATGTGGTCGAGTGGGAAAACATGTTGAGTTCGCTGAGTTGAAGGTGTTTTGGTGTGTTCTTGAGGAAGAGACCTAGTCGATCTCGTAGTTCTATCATGGTTGTGACTGCTTTGGAGACTGCGGCTGGGGAGTGGTCTGAGTGACTGTCTATGACGATTATCTTTGTTAACCTGTGAATGTCAGTCTCAACTGTATCAATGAGGGAGGAAAAGTCTTCAAAAGCCTACCGCAATATCTCACAGCGAAGCGGTAAGAGCATTATCAAGTAGGCATTGGGCCCAGCTTCATGAGATGCAAGCGCTTCCACCCCATCACTAAGCCTGCCCGTCGGCTTCATCAGCCCATGACAGAAAGCATGCTCCGAATTTGGCAATGAAGTCCTCATCCACCGATCCGGCAACGAGGTAAACTCATCCAGACCTGCCGAGAGCATCTTGTCCATGCTCCATACATGCCACACCAGACGCCGCTCGCACTCGCGCTTGATGAGTGCAGCTGTGGTCTCGTTATCAGACGCCGGTTTCTCGTCGTTGAGCTGAAATGACACTGCTAACCTCGCGGCCATGCTGATGAGCAGCCACATCTTGCCAAACTGCCTGTAGGCGAAGTTTTGAAACATGGAGAGGATTAGCAGCTGAATGTTAAGCACTTTGAAAACGTTGAGGTTGCCAAAGATGTAGGCGTCTACTTCTTTGGCCCACTGAACGGACAGGACTCGAGACTCGCGTGAGCGGGAGACGAACATTGCTGCGGTTGCGCATATTGATGTGCAGAGTATTGGCGAAAGCTTCCCGGCGTAAAACTCTTCCATTACGGATGGCCGATGGAAGAAGTCGTGACCTATTGGATAAACGTGGTCGAAGTAGGCCTCAAGATGCTGACGGATCACGTCCGTACTGAGGAGCGCGTGGTCTAGGGCCGTGTTCAGAGACACCCTGCCGACGCCATACTGCTGGTGAAGTGTAGATTCTGCCTCGTAGGAGGCGCTCTGGCTGAAAGTGCTGCTCGATTCTGGAGAAGCAGACTGTTGCTGGTGTCCACTAACATGTCGACTCTTGCGCCTTGATGCCGATAATGGGTATACACATGATAGGTTCCTTCGGTTGCAGTGGAAGCATTGCGGGCGGTGACCGGAGCACTTGGCTTTCTGGACGCGGCACTCCGTGCATGCAGCCGCGATACGGCGGCGTTTGGTCCCGGCTTCGGTCAAAGTGTCTGCCGGGGCCGAGAGTCCTTGTGGATTCGGGACCTCTGGTGACAGGTTGATCTCCGAGTAATTGAATGTACAGCCGAGTCTGAGTCGACGGCAGTTCTCACATGGCTCGGGCCCCCCGGTGCATTTGACCTAAGCTGTGTCAGTATGCTTACCCATTATGTGCGGAGGCAGGGAACGGGGAGCCACAGAGAGGATGCTTTACCTTTCGGCGCTTACACGTCAAGCACCGGGGCCTAGGTAGCGGTGCTGCTTCAGATTCGGCGACCGGACTGGGGCTCGGCATCGTGTCTCGGTCTCCTCCGTCTTTCAGGGCGTAAGTTTGAAGAAGAAACCTACCCGCCGCGGGGTTCGCTCATCGAAACTTCGTTGTCGAGACTCAACGGCGGACCGGGATGCGGAACCCGGAAGAGACCGAGGATAATATGCCCCGGAAACCCCAGTTTTCCCACCGAAACACACTGACGTGCTCAGCATGCGGGGTCGCTCTAAACCCGTTTGGACGCAACGCAGCCCACAACGCGTGGGATCTAGCGAATCCGAGGGCGGGAGGGGGCCCGAAGGGGTAGAGCACATCATTGTGAAGAAGGATTGCGGAAGAGTTGCCTGGCGCGATTGGACGGGTCATTTTGGGAGCTGGTTGGGAACTCAAGCAGTATCATCCAAGAACGCTGTACTGTTGTTGATATGTAGGTAGATTCGTGACATGGAGTCTACAATCTGGTGCACTTTGATATTTATTATCCATGGTCATGAGATGTATTACTGCGTATTTTCCCATTCAGCCGTCGATTTGAAACTGGAATTGACTCAAGGATCCTGGCAAGCATCTTGTAAGTCATTTTATGTGAACTATTCAAGTCACCGCAAAGCATTCGTCAGTCGAGCGCAGGTGGCAATTGGATTGCTGTATGATGTGGATTTATCCAAAAAGAATACAAGAAAGCCAAGATGGCCTTGGCGTCGGCTCGAACAATGAGCTAGAAGCCTACTTAGGTAATGTTAGAGGCTTATTTACCTCAACCTCATCTGCGAGACCCATGTCTTTGAACTCTAATTATTACGATGAATCACTTCTGACAATCCATAAGCTAGGTTTTATAGTGGAGGAAACTGGGAAACTTAAGTTCAGAGAGCAATTCGACTTCTCGTTAGAAATACATGTTTAGACTAGAGTGCACGGATAGAGGTGGATGTCATCGCTACTCGCAAGTGACAACCTTGACAGGGGCCCATATGAAAGTCGAGCCCAACGTGCGACATGGCAAAGAAAAGGCATTGGAAAGTGATGAGGAGAGTCTATTTTGACTACGCAACTCCCTGACAATGCAGCATACCTGTGCCATTCGTGTTTCAAGCTGCTTTGTGACTGGCTCCACAGGTGACGGAGTTGTGGAAACTTTTGTGTTCAAGGGCGCGATCAAGAGGAAAAGGCAAGCCCCAGCTGGCTAATGAGATAGTTTGCGTAAGGCAGAGCTAGAGCCATGTTTAACTCATCAAGTGTCTTTGTTCTTCTAACATTGTGACTGACTGAGTTACCAAGGCCGCATACCGGGAGCAGACTGGGTCCGGGTCAGTGCCGACCCGGAGCCTTCGAGTGGAGTTTACTTCGGGGCATGCAAATTTTGTCGTCCCCATCGCACCAAATCGCACCAAGTTTCCCCATTCGAAATTTAAGCTTTCCCATCCTCGCCCTTCCCATCAACCAGCCAATTTCAGACTTGTCTGCCCGGCTAGCTCAATCGGTAGAGCGTGAGACTCTTAATCTCAAGGTTGTGGGTTCGACCCGTAAGCATACACTGCCTCTGACATACCATACCAACAACAAACTAACTCAAATCAGCCACGTCGGGCTCAATTCCCGTCAGCGATTGACGCATATCTTTTTGTCAATTTCATTCATGTTGCTTTTGATATCTAGGTGGGAGAATCATATCACTTATTCCCTTGCTGGATGACTTGCCTTCGATCTCACTGAGATGGTCGGATTACTTCTTGATGTCCACCTGAAGATCAACTTGACTTTTTCCCAGCGTAATTTCTGCTTTAAATCAAGAGATACTTTGACTACCTGCTTCATCAGGCTATCAAGTTGAGGACATTAACTTTAGGACTTTCCATTGGAGTCAATCATCAGGTCTTTCGGCGCGGTCTATTTTGGGCTACTCTAGATGTGTCAATTTACCACAAGCACGCGAGCAACTCGGGCAACTTGTCAGAGCCCTTCCGGATAGAGGTTACTTAAGGGTAGTAAGGGGTCTAAGCAACAAAGGAGCAGCTCCTATATATATACAGCGCAGGGAGCACGCATCGAGGGAGGGGCAGATTTCAGTAATTCATCTTTTTGACCCTAACAGCAGTTGGCCTCTGAGAGCTTTCACCCTGCGTCACACACCTATTTGACACAACTTCAGACTACTTCTGCGTCCCGCTAAAACTCAAGTCCTCGAATACGTTCAAGGCTTATCAGGAATATGGTGCGCCACTCCGTACGCAAGCAGGGTACCGGGAAATTTCTTCCCCTTCAACATTGACGGGGACACAACTTGGGTCTTGTGAGCGAAACGCCCGCTGGACTGTCAAGTCAGCCATCTATTGGCCCAGCTAACCCATGTGATACTTCCAAACGCCCGCTGAAACGCACCTCAGTCGCTGGAAAGATTGATTATCAGCCCTTACAGCCAGGCAGGGTGAAGATATAAGGACTAATCTTCCCCTGGGTCACAGTTGAGAAGAACCATATTCTCAAAATGAAGATGCCGTATGCCCAAAGCCCCGATGCGCCACCAACAAGACGCATTGTCACTTAATCTGTGGACTACTCATCCCCATGGTATTCACGCACACATCAACAGCAGTTGCCGATTTCCCGATAATGGACCAAGCAGACATCAAGGCAAACAAAGACGAGACGAACAACCCAATTGAGTTCTTAGCTGACTTCGATAAAGCTCTTGTTATACCGGAAATTCTAGATATCTAGTCAGCACGGCCGGGGAATGGGCACAACCAGTGAAAGATCCGACAATAGTATTTCACTGCATCTTCCCTCATCCATCCGTTGACACCGAAGTCGGAGCTTACGTGCGAACTTGAAAGTTGAAGATAGCAAAGGCCCCAGAAATGGTCTATCAAACTGCCAAATCTGGCGGTAGCGCATATGTGGTCAGCGTGACTCCCCCAGCTCTTCGTTGCTCGACCATCGATATCTCCCCACGCCGGCCTACGTCAGACCGCTGAACGTGGCCGGGGGCGGCAGACAGCACCAGGACTTTTGCACTTCACATGCACCGTTATGAAATTAATCGGAGCTTGTTTTTCGCCAGTCGCAGAAGCCCGGCTCATTTGGTTTACTATCCGACTATCGACCATGCAGGCTTATCAGTGATCTATCTGCCAACATCCCGGCGCGGGAAGTGGGAAGTGGGGGCCGTTTTACGGAGGACTCCAGTCTTTACTAACGGCAGTTCGTCGTCTCCAACCGTTCGTTGGTAAGCAAGTAAGTTTGTTTTCGCTCAGACTTACTGGATGAACGCAAAGCTAAGCTTATCGATAGATGGGACTTCACCCCAACCATCCATTACGTCGATCTGCATCTCGTCGCGACTGGAGTTCTCATTCTGAATACGGATAAACTATCCTGCCTTGCCTGCCGGAGCTGATCTCGACACGGGCACGAGAGATAAGCTCGCAACACCAACGGCATAATGCGGCTGAAGACTTCAATGTTCTTGCAACGGTCCTCCGTTCTTCGCCGCACCAATTGTAAGAAGGAGCTTTCTGAGGCTCTTCATGACCCGAAGACAGTAGTGCGGTTCACGTACTGGTAGCAGGACTCGAGAATCTCAACTCCCCCGCACAATGCTCACAGACGTCGGGTCAACCCCACCTTGAATGCATCCCTGAACCTCCTCTCAGAGCTAGTAATCCCTTGCCCATGACTCCGCATAACTGGACTTCGAGATAAGAAATCTCCAGTCAACCACCGCCGTGATGGCGACTTCGATTGTCGATATGCCATTCAATCCCCATTTATTGTCATATCAGCACAATTTCGGATTCGACTGACCAATTTGGACTGGCGTTATCGACAGCTAATACCCCAGTCCCAAAGCTACGGGCCCGACGCCGTTGGCCCGAGTGACCCGACTACGCCGACCTATCTTGATCCTCCATCTGAATGTTGAAGCAATCGCCAAGACTGAGGCTGGGGGAAGCAAACAATATCACGCCGTCGTGTTACATACAACCCCACGGGATGAGCGGCAAGCAGTCCTGTCCGTAGGCCGCGGCCCGCGATATCATCGAACCCCTGCCCTGGCTCGCTCGCATGCCGTCGAGACATGGGCGCCACGTTCTGCAGTTCTTGAGCGATTATTTCTCGGTTGAGCAGCCCATCCCCGACATGATAGGATACTTTCAATATTGCCCAAAAGCCATCAAGGCAACGATAGCTACACAGTAGCTACCCTGCCCCAGAAAATCGAACCCCCCCGGACTTCTGGAGCCATCCAATCCTCTGGGACCTAGCTGTTCGGATGAGGCTCCCTCGCTCCTGGCTTCCCTTCGAATCTCTAGCGGCGCTTTCACATACTGAGAGTGGTTTAGCTTGCATGCTGCAGATGATTCGAATGTTGCTGTCAGTTGATGGTCTAATGGACAAGTTCAAGATTACCCATCGATGCAACCCTATCACCGGTGTCGGGGTAGTGGTAGGTTGAAGATGGCTGAGTCAAGTTACTCAGGTGCAACATCACCAGAGACTCAAGGTTCCACCAGAGCTTCAGCCATCTTTCAGCTGTCCATAAAACCCACCAAGATCCGCCATAGTTGAGAGGATGGATTTGTGAAAGATCCTTACGCCTCTCTGAAACCCTAAGTGTCCATTTAGATCTATGACAACATGAGCTTCACTTCAGTAACTCGCGCCTTTGGCCTGGGAGCACTGCTTCTACTAGGCTCAGACTTGATTCCTCATGTTCATGGCCTTCCCAAGACATCATGGGCTCAACAGAGGGCCAAAGGGCACGGCAGGAAAGCTCTCAGCCAGTCCATGAACAAGCGTCAGTTCAGCAATAGCAGTGAGCCAGCTGACTGCGTGGTTCACGATCCAATGGACATTGATGCCCCCA